GTATCTAGAATTACACTTAAAATTTTATGTTTTTTATGTATCGATTTCTTTTTTCTAACTTTAATTTTATTACATGTGTATTTAATATAGGCCGGTCTAGTAATTAAGTGTCAGAAAATAAGTAAAAATACTAACAAAATTATTTCCCGTCACAATTTTATTAAAGGTGATTAAGATTATTGTAGGTGAAGATTTGTTTGCTTTATAACTTGATGCTTTTGTTATGTTTTTAGATGAATTGAAAAAGAAGAATTTTCATATTCAACCATGAGTTTTGGTGTGAAAATTTTAATGCATTAGAATTATATTCAATACATATTTTAACCTTTTAAATATATTAACACGGGTTTGATTTTTTAATAGTGTTTAAAAAAAACAATTATATTTGTTTTAGCAAATTTAAACTTTGGATCTCATACATACCTATGAGATATATGATGAAATAAGAAAAAAAAGAAAGAAAAACTTGTATTCCTACTCTTTTCAATAGTATCTTAAAAAAAAGCATTAGTGTAATTGGAAAATAAAACAACTACCAACTCATTTTTACTCATTTAAATTAATTATATTAACTTACAATTTTATTTATTTATAAATCCAAAGAACTTCAATTTTCACTCTTTTTGTTCTCTTTCTTTCATTTTCTTCTACTCCCAAACAAAGGTAAGTATTTTCATACATCTTTCATTACTTTCCAGTCATAATTTTCAATAAAGTATAAATAAAAATTCATAAATTAATCTGAAAAATGCAACTAATGTAAAAATATGTTGGTATCTGAGGTAATTTGCATCAAATAATGTGTCGGTTTCATCTTTTTGAATTCTATTTTACCTAAGTGATACATTGCATTTGATATATCCAACATGTTAACATGCATTATTTGCTTTTGTTCATGTTGCTGTTTTTCTTTTAATATGATTTGGTAATTTGTTTGGCTCCACTGTGGCCATATTCAACTGTCTCACTCAACTCAACAATGAGTTTGCCATCTGGAATGAGACAAAGTTTACATGTGGAAATGTTTTTTCAGTCAACACTACAAACATACAATGTTGAATTATCATGTTTAATTTAAGAGGCTGCACTCAGTTGGAGAGACACTAAACTTCAAATTATTTTCCGACAATAGAATCTTGGTAATCCACTGCCAAATTCAGAGTATATATATATATTTCAATCAACTTTTTACAGCAAATGGTACAAAATTTTTGGAGAGTTTTTATTTTTTTTTTAAATATATATTAGTATATTCCTTATTATGTCTTTTAGTATACCTCTATAGGTTACTTAAATTTTAATTTTAATTATTATAATAAATATATTTAAATAAAGATAAATTGTAATATATGATGAATATATTAATAAATATTAATAAGTATAATTAAGTGTGAGTAATTTGTATTAAAATTTAATACTTGAATTGTGTGATGGTAGTGATTTTGAATATCTTTAACTAATCTTTGAGTTATTGAATTGGTTTTCTTAGTTAACATTATCATAAAAGAATATGATGATGTAGTTTTGAATTTCTTAAATTCAATAATTGTAAAAAATAGGTTTGAAATATATGTATGAGCAATGGACCAACCTAGTATTTGTGTCCATGAGACACATGGATATTTTTTTTCACTATTTTAAATACTAATAACATTTTTTTATGGAATTGAATAATTTTACATATTATATTTTGAATTAGAATAATAAAAATTAAAATAATAAAAATTGATCAAAAAGTTGATAAGTTTCAACATCTTTGAGAAATTTGGTTCTTTAAAAAAGGTAAGGAAAGTTAACTACTACATTTTAAAGTAATTGATAAGTTTCTAGTCTGTAATGCATGTTGAATTTGATCTAAATTGTAGTCTGATATGAGAATTCTATTTTGATGACTTGTTGAGTATAACTCGTTTTGGTTTATGGAATTAACAAAATTGTTGTCTAGAATTGATTAAATTAGGTGTCGAAATATGTTTGTGCAATATAATGGTGTGTTGTTTGAATTGATAAACTAAGTCTATGGTCATTTGAGCACATTGGTACTTAATCTAACATTGAAATATGTTTTTGGATTAAGTATTGAGTCACGAATACCATATTGATCATTTTAATAGAACTCTAGTTCATCATATCAAAGTTGTGGAATTTTAGGTTTCTGGTATGACGCTTAGCTTTAGTTTTCATTGTTGAGCGACCTAAATGCGAATGGTATGAGAATGAGTAGTAATAAGGCATCACTGAACGCAAGTTACCACTATAGGTGTGGGGCTATTTTCACTCTTTTTCGCTGAGCGACAAGTAGAGCTTGCTGATCGAACAAAAGTGCGAGAGCTATGGCATTGGGGCTCTCTTTTGCTAGAGCTTTTTGCGCTGAGTGTCAGTTTGAGCGCTAGTGTGTTGTTTTGTGATTTTTTAGATTTTGTTGGTTTCAATGGGTTGTTATGGATTATTAGCATGTTTATTATGAGTTTGTGATGTTTTATTGATTTATATTGTGGTTATAAGCATGACTCTAATGATGATGGTGAGTTTGTTGATGGATATAAATATTGTGTATGTTTAGAGTGATTCTATGAATATGGTGGAGAGACTCTATAATGGTATATGTTAGTGTGTGCCTTGAGGTAATGACTGTTTCATTTGTGCAGCTATCTTGAACTTTACTAAACATTCATACTTACGAGGAGGAGAATGATTAGGTGGTGAGAGTGATAGGAGGTCCTCTCATAAAGATGGCCCTAGGATTCTTATGAATGTGATAGAGACTAACCTTGTAGGTGTTAGTATAATAGTTTTTGGCACCACAAGTGCATGACTTCACTAGTTTGACTCAATGACACATATTCGGATGGTCAAGTCTAGTATGTATGATTTATTTTCTAAATATTTTGTTGATGTAAATCTATATATGTGTTTACTTCTATATAAATTACAATATGATTGCTTATTGGTAAAATAACTTACTCTTTTATATATATTCTTTTTTAATGATCACCTTAATAATGTAAATCGATGAAGATGTTTGTGTTAAGCAAATATTAGATAATAATAAAACTAAAGTATAGAGTAGAATGATGTTCTTTTGTTTTTGAACGGTTTTGAAAGACTCCATTAGACTCTTAATTTTGATATAATAATATTATTAATATCATAGAATATATATATATATATATATATATATATATATATAATATGTTATAGTAATATTTTTTTAATAACTGCAATAGCATTTACATGGATCTTTTTAAGTATATATTCTTTTTTATTGAATATGTAATGTTTTTTTAGTAATTATACAAACATTTTTTATAATATTGATTAACATAACATTTTTTAGAAAAATATAGGAATGGTGCATGTACATTTTAAAGTGTCAATGGGTGGGAACTTGTAATATATATTACTTTATTTTGTTATTATAACAAGATAAAAAATTAATAGGTTTTCTAACATAATATATTTTTGTAATTCTATTTTTATTTTATTTAAAAGAATTTAATGTAATTCTTTTAGTTAAATTAGTATTGACATTGATACGACTGCAGTGACTTTTCTCTAACCTTTAACATTTTTGTTTGTAATCATAACATATTTTTTACTCTCTCCATTATGAAAGTACAGAAAGAAAGTGAAGAAGTGAAGAAACCTCAAATCAAATTGTCTTACAAAGAATATCAACACTAATTTAAAAGAAGAAATTGAATCAAACCCTTTTAGATAAAATAAAAACTTGATTGAACAAAAATTAAAAGTCACATTAAATAAATTCTTCAAAGACAAAAAAAAAAACTTATTAAATAGAAACAAACACTATTTTATAGTACTATCTAGTCATAAACGACTAAATTTATATTTTTGCAATATCGATTTCAAAATTATCCTAAACTGAATACAATTGGAATTCATAATTGATAAAAAAAAGGTGTACTGCTACTTTCCAAAGACAAAAACTTCAGTTTATTTAAAGTATTTAGTGATTACTTTTTTCTTCTTTTATCAGTATCCATCAATATTTATTTTTTATTTGGAAGTGCTATAGCCACCTGGGAACTTTGACAACCTTTATTGTTTTTAATTACTTTTTGGGATGCTGATAAAGAGAGAACCCAAAGGAATCAGAGTTATTGGAAGTTTGCTCTGATTCAGAAACTGCAAGATTAATGGGAAGAAGAAGATTATCTACAAAGCATCAGATATAGTATTAATTTTTGTTTATTATATGATTGAAATGGAAAGCACAACAACTCATCTTACTTCTTTTTTTCTTTTCTCACTCTCTTGAAAACTACACAAAACAAAAATAAATCAGCAAACGCGTTTCTTCACAAATGGCAAGTGTTTGTCGGTTCCCCATAAAATTAAATAAAACATACTGACAGAATTCGTACTAGAAGGAAAAATCAACCTTATGTCACACTTCACCCTTTCATCTCATAACGAAATGGTTTAATTGCTTCCTTTGTCCCCAGTTTGGTTGAATTGTGTCAAATTCATCCTCATTTTTAAAAAAGTTTCATTGTCGTCCTCACGTGGTATAAAAGTGTCAATTGAATCCAAACATAGAAAAAATTTGTGTCAAAGTAGTCATTTTTCCTATATCTCTGTGTCCTATATCTCTGTGTCTTCCTTTCATATGTCACTTCTCTGGAGCTATGAAAAGTCTTAAATTGGATAAGGTAAAATGAATATCTGTACTTGATTGTATGAAAGGAAGACACAGATATATAGGAAAAATGACTACTTTGACACAAATTTTTTCTATGTTTGGATTCAATTGAAACTTTTACACCACGTGAGGACGACAATGAAACTTTTACACCACGTGAGGATGACAATGAAACTTTTTAAAAAATGAGGATGAATTTGACACAATTCAACCAAACTGGGGACAAAGGAAGCAATTAAACCTAACGAAATTACATAAACATAACATCTTCAGTCCAGATTGTTTTTATATATATATATATATACTTTTGAATGTATGTTAAAGGTAGAGAGAATCCAAATTCTAACACCTCTGACTGCATGTTTTTGATTGAACGAGTCTCAGTCCATGCTCACCATACCTCATTGCCCCCTTATCATTTTCTCTTCCTTCATTCCTTTTTTTCCTTTACAATTACTCATTCCAAGTCACAATATTCTATGCAGAATAATAAAGTGGAAGGAAGAGAAACGAGAAAAAAAAAGGAAGAGTTCAGAGAAGAAGATCATAGATGGGTCAACTGATACATGTTGCAGTGGTGGCAGCCTCCTTGGGATGTGTTTCGACCCTTTTGCTGGTTTTCATGTGGCGTTGGTGTCATCACAAGAAAGACCACAGAAACTTCGTAGAAGCCAATAGCTTGACCAGAATGGAGAGTCTCCAAGCAGGAATTGCAAGACTTCATCAACAGCAGCCTGCAGTATATCACCAATTTGACGAGAAGAACAAGAACAAGAGCAATAACAAAATCAAAAACAAAGGCAACTTTTATGTTTTTCACAATGGGGTATCTAGAAGGGGGCATTTGTTCAACTGGGATGATCATCCCTATCTTGTGGTTGATGCTGTGGAAAATGGGTGGTCTGGATTTGGTTTTTCCAACTACAAGAGCAACATGCCATCTCCTTCAAAAAGATCAAGTCTTTTGGGAGCATGTGTTGCTGCTGCTGCCGAGAATGGAAGAGAAAGTGAGGCTGAGATAAGTTGGGAAGTGTGTAATGGATCAGCTGAATATATGCAGAAGGTTAGACTCAATCCTGAGTTGAAAAAGGTTCTTCACTCAAACAACTCTTCCAATATGAGTGTTGCTTCTGTCATTAGGACTTCTCTACCTCTTCCTGGCCCTCCTTTGGGAAACTATGCCTTCCCACAAGAAGCCTATTTTGAAATCACCATACTGTGTTCTGGTGTTGGTAATCATGATTCGGTTGTTGGAAAGAGAGAAGGGGAGAAGACAAAACTCCTCATTGAAGATGGTTCCAATGGTGTATGTGATTTGAATATGGTTGAAGAAGTGAAACTTGGGCAGAAAGAGGGTGGTGGAAAGAGTGGATCTGTGATGTTCTCATTGGGGTTAACAGCAGGAGGAGGTGTTCCTTTAAGAGTTCCAGGTAGCTATCCTAGGAGCATTGGATTCAATTCCAATGGTTCTGTCTTTCTTGAAGGTAACCAAATTTACTTATCCTTCTCTTATTGCTTGCCATCTTCTTTCTATTTTACACCATTTGAGGAAAGAAAGGTTCCATGGCCATTCATTTTCTATAGTTCAAAATTTGTGGACAAAAGTATAGGGTCATTATTCAGTACAGATTCAAGATTCATTAGGCACAAAGTTTTGGCTTTGTGCTATTGTTTTAGAAAGAGAACAGCTTGACCCAATTTAAGACTCATTTCTAATTCTCACCTAAACATTAAACATGAGAGGCCCACATGAAATGTTTACACTTCACATTCCTCACTATAACAACTTCAATGCCGTACTTTAGAGTAGAATGGAACAGACATAGTTATGGTAAATAAGGTGGCACTCTGTTAGATATATTTCAATGTAAAATATGTCTTAACCCAACTGAAGTATCTATTAAGTTTCTTAAAAAAAAATTGTACTATTTGTTTCTCTTTCAAATGCTGTCTAAAATACCTGTTTTCTATAAAACGTTATTTATGATATTAGTAGGATCAAAAAGTCAAGTTAACATTCAAATAACTTCTGCAGTGTCTTCATAGTTCTTGGGTTTTATGCAAGAATTGACAGAATTATTTTATATAAGGAGTTCACTATCGAAGAGATTACATATACATGATTTTAGTTCAACCTAAATAAGAAATTGACATATTTTTAATCTAAAATTTCGATGTATTGAGTTTATGGATCTTTTATTTAATATATGATCTTATATGGTGTATAGTTTTGTCATTAGAGGTGTGACTTAGACTCATACTTGAATTATTCACAACAAGAATCACCAATTTCTATAGTTACAATTTCAACTTATGCTGATTTACTTATGTTCTTTTGAAGAGATCTGAGTGTGAAACTTGGTTACAGGAATGAAACTTGTGATGGAGTCTGAGAAGGCACAATGGATAGGAAGTGAAAGGGTAATTGGATGCGGGTATGATCCAAGGCAGAAGAAGGTTTTCTTCACATTGGACTCAGAATTGGTGCATGTCATCCACTGTCAGTCAGAAGAATTCGGCACTCCACTCTGTCCAACTTTGGCTGCAAACATAGACATTCAGGTTTTGGTTAATTTTGGACAAAGTGCATTCAAATATGCACCTGCAAATGCACAAAGAACACCAAATCCATGCTTCATAGCCCCACTTGTAAATTCTCCTGGTGCTACCCTCGGTTATGATGACAGCAAGGAGCTCTTCTCCATGGGAAGGATTGATTCTCAGTGGCATAACAGATCTGCAAACAAAGCCAATCAACCCAATGGGAATATTAGTCAAGTCTTAGATTTTGATGACTCTGAGGCTGATCTATTTGAAATAGTCTTGGATGGTTCATGAAAGTTTGAAAACATTATTTCATAGCTCACCACTGTATAGCAGGCATAATTGAATGTGGTTATCATGTCTCAGGTGATTAACTTCATTTCTCCTTCTGCACATACCCTTTGATTTGATCTTTCCCCTTCAACCATAGCTAGTCATATAACAGCCTTTTGTCTCTTCTTTTACCCTCCCAAACGTGTTTTTCTTCTTTGGTCACCAAACAAACACTAAGTTTTGCTATTTGGAATACAGCATTTTCCTCCCTCTGTAAATACTGAATTAGTGATTATACTTTCTGGCCAATGTTCCCATTATATTATATTATGCTTTCTGCCTTTCTCATCAAACTTTCTGCAAACATTTTATGTGCTAGTCATGTCAAAGCTTAATGCAGAGAGGCACCACCATGATGAAAAAGGTTATAAAAACCAAAAGTGTTTCCAGTTACAGATGATTTAGCATTCATGAAGCCTCCTTTTTCTAAGAGATAAGTATTTCTTTTGTTGTTGTTGACAAGGTTTGGTTGTAAGAAGGAAACTTTGAAAATGTAGAACCAATAATTGCATTTAGTTTGGTAAGTATGTGGCATTTGACAGCTGATAAAAAACAATATTATCAAAATGTAATTGCGTGTCAATCCTTGCATAGTTCATGGCCACATGTCATCCAACCTTTTAGGTCAACATGTATGGGTGTGTGTGCCACGCTAACTCCCCAAAATCATTCTTTATACCATTCTCTGCATAATTTCTTTTTACTCTTCATCTTTAAGGACACTTCTTTTATATTCAACATTTTCTTCTGAATTCTGGAGATGACCTGTATAATTTATACTAAAATCAGTTTTAGATCATTTTTTTTCATAAATGTTTTAAAAAACTTATAAGTCAAAATTAATATGTTAAAAATAAGCCTTCTTGAAATTTTAATATAAGAAGTATTTTACAATTGTTTTCATTATATTACAGAAAGGAGTGAAAAGGTTGTTGTGTGGTGCATTTAATTAAATCAAAGATCATGATCTCCACTATGTATGACCTTCTAGGAACCACGTCCCAGCAGTGAACGTAATTAAGAAATAGTTGAGAAAACAAAATGTATGTTGTGAGAGTCCTCACATGTTAAGCATTGAGAATAAGGGATTATGTTTGAAATTAAAAACTGTAAGTATAATCTTCAAGAAATAAAAATCATATATCTGAAACGTGAAAATTTACAATCCAGAACGTTTGTATACCATAAAATCCAGGAAATTAGTCTTTGCACTGATGACGTGGAAATTTTATATTAATTAAATATAAAATAATATTTACAATTTATTTCTATAAAATTAAATTAAAATTATAATATATATAAGTAAATATAAATTTATTTATTTATTCTTAGTATCCCGGTCGCATATTAGGGATTTTACTTTAACCCAGTATTTACTGTTTTAGGAACTAACGCAAAATAATTATTTGAGCAAGCGTGACACACTTCAAAGAACTTTTACTTCACGAATAGTAATGTCCTTTGATGAAATCAAGAACTAATAGAAAAACCAATCGCCTACATTTTTCTTGATTGGGTGTTTGCGTTGACATAACCTAATCAGAAAACCTTTCCTTGAACAAACTATATATGATCTGAATCAGGATATGTCATTATCTAGTCTCGATGCCTCTTTAAATTGTCGCAGCATGAGAACAATTCTTGCGAAAATGTCGTGTTATTTTTTCTTTTATTCTCCTTGCTTGGCATTTTTCATTTCAGTTTATTTTTTGTTTTTCCGCCAACCTTACTATAGATGTCGAGCTCAAACAATGGAGATCATTGTTGCTCCACTTGTTGTAACTGCAAAATGCTCAAAACCAATATCTATCCCAACAGAATACTAGTATATGGTGATATCATACCTTGTGTAGCTTAAGCGGCTTATTTGTTAGATTTTCCTGCGAATAACTTTGATGAAAGCATAATCCCTGAATTACAGTTCTGAACTTATTGGTCAGATCCAAAACTCTTATGCTTGTTCAGTTAGTTGGAATAAAAAAATGGCAGAACAGTGCAATCTTGTGTAAAGATGTGGCTGATGCTGCATTAGCATATCGTTACTCCCAAACATTCAGCTCGAAAGTATCCTTCACTCGAATTGGTAGAACTTTCAATACCATATTCTTCCCATTTTTTGGGTTGTTAACTTCAGTTTATTAGGTTGTTATAGCTTCGAATTCGTTACCATGCCCCTCTAGATAGAATTTCCAATGTACTCATTTTCAACATTTAACAGTATACTAGGGTTTTAAATCTTGTATAGTAGTTATTATAGCCTCAATCTTAATAATAAATGTTTAAATTGGTTAAGCGCAATAAGAAATATAAGCAGATTGAATTGTTGTTAAGACATTACTAATAGAACAAAAGTTTAACTATTATAAAAGGAAAATTTTTTTGACTTCGTATGCAATGATAAGAACCTGCGCCAGTTTTACTGTTGAACAATTAACTAGTTGAAATTTGTAATACTGATCCTTTTGATATCGGAATGAAAATCATATTCCAAGCTCATGGTAATATTGAAATATTAAATCCTTATTCTACCACTTTAGACAAACAATGAGAACAGCCGCAAAAGACTGTTACCCTGAATTAAATCACAGAAAATACTACACAAATTACGAACTACAGGACGACTTCTATCGCCTGGATTTCAAAATTGCTCACCTAATCTTGGGAATAGAACTTATGTTTTGGTACATAAGATGCAGAAGAAAGTTGTAGAGTGTTCAATTATAACCACCCAGCACTGATTCTGTAACCCTCTTTAATGATTCGGATGCCTTGAGCACATCAGACTCTGAATGCCCCGCAGAAACAAACAATCTAATTCCTACAGGCAAACGGCACTTATCCAGTGTTGATCTTTTGGAAACCACCACAAATACAGATTCTTCCCTCAAAACCTGCGAATGCACAACATTAAGGACAACTAAAATCGAAACCAATAAATTTAACATCACCAAGCATCATTCCTCACCCGTTCTGCGATAGTTTCAAGCAGACGCAGGTCATCTTTCACGGAACCTGTTGATTGCTCTAATCTCAAATAAACAATAGGTGACTCTGGATTGCTTGCAAGTGTGATGCCCGATATTTTTGACAATTCTGCATTGGCCAGTCAGTTTACGTAAAATCATCAGTGCTTAACATAAAATCCTTTTTTTTTTCATGGGTGAAAACAAATGCATAAAAATAAAAAGCAATTCAATCTGTCAGGTATCCTGCACTAGCCAAATAGGCACTACATTACACACTACACTCAGTGAAATAAAACCCCACCTTTCCTAAACAAAGAAATATTGCTCTTCAGCTTTGTTATTAGATTGGGATTTTCCTCCAGGATATCAATAGCTGTAATTGCAGCGCTTGCAAGATAAGGAGGTAAAGAAGCAGAGAAGACGTAACCAGAGCTACTCAATCGCTGCCAGGGTAGAAAACAGGCATATTAGAGCAAGCAATGCAGATAAGAAACAATTGTCATCAACAAACAATAAATAGTGATAGCATGCCTCTCCATTTTGAAACTTTTACAGTTTACACCTATAAATTCAGGAATAAATGATGAAATGTAAACCAAAAAAAAAATCCTTGAGAATAAATTCTTAAATTTCCACATTTACAATTCTTTGTTTTCGCTTGGTATACTAAGAAACCTAACACATTACTTGTAGATGGTTAATGGCTATATATCACATGACACTTCCATACTTGGTGATCGATAACTCTTGCACTTCCAGTGCAGAATCCTCCTTCTGTGGCCAATGCATGTCCCATAGCAGCAGTTATAATGTCTATCTTCTCAACCTGGAGCATGTAACCACAAATCACAAACAACAATACATTTTTGAATAAATGCATACTTGCATCTAGGGTGAGCACATGCACCCACCTCCCAAAACAGAGAAATTCAAAACATACCGGAACTCCACAGTATTCAGTTAGACCTCTTCCTGAACTTCCAAGCACACCCAATGAGTTGCTTTCATCCAGCAGAACACGAAATAGATATTTTTCCTTCAATTTAACGATCTCGTCCAAGGGTGCTATTTGGCCAGAATTCTGAAAAGCATTGCAATAAAAAGGATAGTAGCAGATATCAGTTGAGCAATTTCTTGTTTACACAAATGCCTATTTGTATAGACAGATGTTAATACAGAAAAAGTAACTCTTTGACATTGGACTTAAGACCTAACTCAATCCCATTCACCTGATTTGAAAAGTGAAAAATCCCTAAGCTTTACAAGCACTAGTACAATTAGCTCTTATAGAAACAATCTGAACAACCAAAAGTCAAGAAAAGAAATGAAAAAAAAAAAAACTGCAGAAAGATTGATTAGCCACAACTACAAATTTATTTATTATAGATATTAATCAACCATTGCCCTTCACATGAACAACTTAAGTATTTAAGAATACACCATGCCTTCTATTAGAAGTTCTACATCGAATAGAGATAAGTCCACCCCCTACATCAAAGTAGGTGCAAACCTCACCTTACAAACTGGTTTTGTGGGGTTGAGTTCACTTCTTATCATGGTATCAGAGCCATGATTTAGAGTCTAAGTTTGTCGTTTGTTGGGTCCGTTATTCCACCCGTCATCAGATCACACATTAATATCTAGTCTCATGCTCGATATGTATATGTCTCAACATAAGGAAGGGTGTGTTAGAAGTCTTATATCGACTAGAGATAAAGCTAATTCACAATATATAAGTGGTGCAAATCTCACCTTATAAACTAGTTTTGTGGAGTTGAGTTAGACTTAAAGTCCACATCTTAACACTTTCTATAGAATTAAATATAAGGAATTCCAACTACTGGACCACTGATATACCTAAGGATAAACAGGGGTGGATTGTATATGAGAGGAGAAATAGGAGGGCGAGTTAGAGGGGTTAGTTGTGGGTACTTAATAATTCGTACAGTTAAGGGAGTTGAGGAGGTGTTAGTATAAATAGGAGTTGGTTAGTTGGCAGAGGGGGAATTTTTGACAGTTAGTTGGTTAACAGGTTAAGTCCTGTGGAGGAGGGTTAAGCCTCTTGTATCATTGTTGCGTATTCAATTCTTTGTGAATAATATACGATACTATTCTTTTTCTCTTCTGTGTTTCTCTGTTGCTTGTGTGAGAAGAGTTCTTGATTAGGTTCCCAAATTAGGAACCTAACAACCACACATGATTCTCCATATATAATCATTAGTAGTGCCACCTATAGAATTAGTAGTATGTACGGAGTTCGTTAGAAATACAATCTACACAAGGACCCTTGAAGATATATGCCAATTAGTCAATAGAGCAACAAAGTTGGTGGTGATTTTTCATGAGATCACTTTTTCTCTAACAAAAATAACAATCTATCT